TCGAGATCTATTTTTGATTTTTCGGGCTGTAGCAGACGCATTGAGATTGGGTCGCGGAGGTAGAATGCCTCTACTACTGGGGCAATGTACGATGGATTGATATGTAGGATATGGGCAACTTTTCTTGGAAGGGGCACCGTTGCATGATGCTGATTATCTGCGATAGCAGCAGGATAGCTATTCAATCGATGGAATGCCTCTTTTTCGACCTTGATGTACTGTTGAGGTCGCCCTGGAGTATCACGTATTATTTGTAGAGCTTGATTCTGAGAGAGTGGTGCAGGGTCCTCCTCCTTGCCCAACGGAATGATTAGCAGTCTATGACTGTTTATCCATACCCTGTTATCTGCAACTTCTGGAGTGAGCCACTTGGGCAGCGCATTCGCAGCTTCGATGAGTAGGAACTCTCCATCACTATCGTATATGCGTATCCAAGCATCCTTGAATTCTTTGCTTAGCTCACGCAAAAGGTAAACGATCAGCCATTCGTCCGCGATACTATCCCCATAGTTGGTGTGGCCACGAAGTAGCCATCTCTGTTCTTCGCGGACAAGTTCAAGTTTCAGCGAGTCGCGTTGCCAAATATGCTCCTTGAGAAATTTCTTTTCCAGCGTATTCAATGCACGTTGGAATCCCTGCAATCTTTCTCTAATTTGGATGTCGGAGAGTGTAGAGTCTATGATGAAGACGATATATTCCACAACGTCGTCAGGTAGTTTCTTGGGGAAGCCGTCAAATCCCTCGCCAAACCACTTGAGGCCGTCCTGCGGGCCTTCCATGTTGCAGAGACCTTGCACTGGTTTTGTCGTATTTTGAGCACGGATTCTCGTGGGAAACAAAAGTTGAGTTTTGAGAGCGTATCGATCCGGAGAGTTTTCCGCAGGGAGAAAATCACAAATCCCAGCAACGGTTTCTGAGGGCAGCTAGGATAGAGATTTTGGTGCAGGCAGCAAAATCAGAACACGTGACTGGCCGCCACGCGCGTTGCGGATGCAGCCGGGTTTGGTTAGCGGCGGGGGCAGCATCCCTGTCATGGTCCGAGCGTCCCAAACAAACAACACCACCCAAAGTATCCCCAAGTGACAGCCCAAAGAAAGTCAACAATTACTTGACTTGCGCGCGCCAAGGTACCTGCCATTTCTCTCACTCATGCGTCAGTAGACAACATATCTATCACCCAACCATGGCGCACCTACTCGATACGCCTCGTACAGAGGTTGGCGACATGACGCGCTTCACTACCAACGAGCCCTCTTTCAGCATGGAGGAGACATTCCATGCCCCGACAGACCGCGACAACCTCTTCAAGCAAATGAGTGGCGCCCGCACGCCCCGGGCTCAACTGACTACACGACGCAACCTGAGCGCGAAAAACGAGTTCACACCTATGTTAAAAAGTGCAACCGCGAATCGAACACGCCAGGTCAACGGCCTCTTCGACGGGAAGATCACGACACCCATTGCCATGAAGCCAGGCTTTCAGGTCAGCAACACACCGCTGCCCGAGGCAAGCATGTTCGACGTGCAATCAAGTTCTTTTGCCGAATCGGTCGATGACCGCACACAGCTGCCCGATCCCAACTCTAGCGCCATGAGCACGCCCATGGCGATACCAAGGAGGGCAGAGGGGGAGATGGACGGCGGGAATGGCAATGTACTCACCCTAAGAGAGCAGGAAGATGTAAGTGAATTCGGACACCTGAGATGTTGATGATAAGCCTGTAGTCCAAACCGGCTAACATTACATGCAGCGATTAGCACAGATTGACAAGGAAAACTTCGGCCTGAAGCTTAAGATCCATTTCCTCGAAGAAAATCTGAAGAAGATGGGGCCCGAATTCAACCGTCAAGCCATGGAGGAGAACATTAACCTTAAGTCCGAGAAGGTTACTATGTCGCGCGACCTCAAGAACTACTCAAAAGACCTCAAAGCCGCCGAGACGGAGTTGGACCACTACAAACAGCAACTTCGAGAGTATGCAGAGAAAGTCAAGCGGCGGCACGCCGACGAGGGCATGCGCGAAGAAATGGACGAGCTCCGACGACTGGCCGATGAGCGCGCTGCTGAGATTGAGCGACTGGAGGAGAAGTTGGAAGAGGCAAGGAGCGCGGAAGAAGAGCTGGAGAGAGCCAATGCGGACCTGGAGAACGCACAAGCAGAGGTCGAAAGACGCGATAAGATGTTAGACGAAAACGAAGAGCACATCAAAGATCTGGAAGATCAGCTAGAAAGAGCGAGGGTTTCACAGTCCGGCGATGAAGAGAAAGATCGCCAACTCAAGGAACAAGCCCAGCGTATCGTTGAACTTGAAGAAGAGATGCGGTCTGTTCAGGATTCCAAGGATACAGTCCAGGCAGAGAAAGACCGCCAACTGGCTGAACAAAAGGAGAAGATTCAAGACCTAGAGGAACGACTTCGCTCACTAGAACACGAAAAGGACACTGAAATCAACTCTCTACAGTCAAAACTGCAGTCTGCCACTGATGGAAAGCAACAAGAGATACGTGAGCTTGAGCGAAACCTTGATGAGTTGGAACGCGAGCTGGACGAAGCGGATGAACAGAGACAGCGGGAACTCGATGAGGCCAATAAGCAAAAACAAAGAGAAATCGCCATGGTGGAAGAACGCTTGCGTTCGATGGAGCGCGACAAGGACAACGAGCTACGAGAGTTGCAGAGGCGTCTTCAGACTGCTCACAACGAACAGCAAGCAGAAATGGACGCCTTGCATGAACGATTGGAACTTGCTGAATCCCAAGGTGACAACCAAGTACAACTAGCTCAACAGTCTGCAAGCGATGCTCGACAGAAAGCATTGGAAGTTGCGCGTGAGAAGGGACTTGAGATTGAGCTGTTGCAATCTCGGGTCGATGCGGCTGAGTCCAGAGCTGACGAACTTGAAGAATTCCGCAAGAAGCACCAAGATGCGATGCAGCAGATCACTCGTTTGCAGCAAGACGCATCGACCTATGAACAGCAACTTCAGCAGTTGCGTCGAGATCTCAGTCAAAAGGACCGCGACTTGGACGGATTGGAAAGATTACGCAGAGAGCGTGATGACGCAACCCAGGAACTCACTGGCCTCCGCGCAAATCTCAACAGCAAGGATGCTCAAGTACAGGCACTCAACAACGCGAGGCAAGAGCGCGATGCTCTCTCCCGTGAGCTTACTACCCTTCGTCGTGAGCGTGACAGCCTGGTTTCTAAAATCTCGACTAAGGAGGAGCAAGTGGAGGCGCTGCGGAGAGGGAACAGTGACCGCGACACATTAGTTGCAACTCTTCGCCAAGAACGCAACGACATCGAAAACGAGATGCGCAACCTCAGATCTGCCGTGTCAGGCAAAGACACACAGATAGAAGCTCTCCAGAGAATCACGCGGGAACGTGACGCAATCTCCCGGGACCTGTCTAGTCTTCAGTCAACACTGCAAGCTCGTGACCGCGATATGACCACTCTGCAGCGAAAGGTTGAATCACAGGAGGCGATGCTTCAAGATCTTAAGCAGCTCAAGAGCGACCTCGGTGACCGGACGAGAGAGTTGGAAACCGCAAGACGAACGATATCTGATCGGGAAGCGGAGCTCGACGCCCTACGAAGCCATGCCGATGAGCCGGATACACAGATTGATGTCATGCAAGACATTGTCCGTAAACGGGACAACGAACTGGAAGGCCTTCGCGAACAGATGGATTCGCAAAAGAGTCAAGTCGAAGCTCTCCAACGGCTAGCAGAGGAGCGTCTAGAGGCACTCGAAGAGCTCAGAGATATCACCAATCGCGAGAAGGAAGACTATGAAGAAGAGATTGCTGTTCTTCAAGATGACGCCGATGAGGTAGCCGAAGAGAAGGCCTCACTCGAGGAGAAGATTGCTGTGCTCGAGTCGATGCTTCGTGAAAAGGAGAGCCAGAGCAATGCATTGCAGTCCGAGACCCGAGCAGCTCAACGCGAACAAAAGCTCAAACTCGAGGACCGGATCCGTGACCTCGAATCGAGAATTCGCGAAAAGGACGCTCAACATCGCATGCTTCTTTCTGAAGCGAAGTCGACTGCACGCGACCAACAGTCATCGCTTGAGCGCCAATTGAAGGACTTGCAGTCACAGCTCCGTGAAAAGGAATCACAGCTGCGTCTGCTTCAAGCGTCGTCAAGAGCGATACAGCAAAAGGCCAACCAAGACGCGGTCGACCTGGACGAGCAAGCCGAAGCTCTTACAAAACGGCATATCAAGGAGATCAACGGTCTTGCCAAGCAGATTCAGTTCCTCCGAGCACGATGCTCACGCGCAGAGGCGTTCCGTGAGGCTCTCGGTTACCAGAAGAGATTTTTCCTGATGCAAATCTCGACTTATAATGAATGGTACGTTTGTCTTGTTTTCCGTTATTTACGCTAGACACGTATGGCTAATGCTTGTACAGCAACCAGCAAGATCTGAATCTCATCTCACAGATGGGCATTACACCTGACATTACCATCCACGACCGTCGGCCTACGCTCAAATCAGCAGCTCTTGCAGTCATTGCAGCGCTTCGGATGCAAAAGTTTGCAGACGACTGGGCGCAAAATAGAAAAATTCACGAACAGTTGAAGGCCAAATTGGAGGGCATGAGGAGGAATAGCAGAAGAGGAGTGGGTGTGGGTATGACGCTTAGTGCGAAGAAGAGTATTGGGGGTTCACAGTTGAGGATTGCAAGGTAGAACCTGCAGTATCCTTGAAGAATCCGAGACCCACAATCTCGAGGGTATTTCTCAGTGTGAAGAGATAGGTGGGGGTATTGTTAGGCATTGCATGGTGTTGTTTGTCATTTGCTTGTCTTTTGGGTCCTCGGTATAGGTTATGAATGGGGGGGTTTTGGCGTTTTACAGTTGTACAGAATGAAGTCACGACTTTCGCACCAGCCACCTAAAATTACTATGACATTATGAAACGGGGGTATCATGTCGAGTATCCTAACAGTATGTTCTCACTCTATAGAACAAGCAGCCATTTTGTAAGACGTCACCTGTACCTCGCCGATCCACAAACACCGCACACGCCTGCATCTCCAGCGTTGATGTATTGGCTTCTTTTGCAGGTTGAACTCTTGCATGCCCAACTATTTACGACAAAGTCCTTCTGAAGCACATGAGCACACGCCATGCATGTAAGGGCTCCGGCATCGTTCTCCAGAGAACAGATGGGGCACACGAATGAGACAGATGGTGATGAACTGCGGGGCTGGCCAGGTGCGGGGCGTGACGGTTCGGGGTTGCGTGTATTGAGCTCTGTAGATGAGATGCCTGATGATACAGTGCCTTGTGCTGATGTGGTATGGGGTTTGGTTTTAACGGTCGACGGAGCACTCTTCGTGGTCTGTTTTGATTGTCGCGAGTTGTGTGAGATATTGTTCGACACCGGCAGCCGGTTAGATCCTTTGCGTGAGGCGGCAAAGCCTTGTATCTCGACCAACTCCCTTTTTGCATCGCCATCTTTGTCGTCATCATCATCTTCGCAAACCTTGACGAGCGCACGGCCTTTATCGTCGAGCATGCTCTTGCCATCCACGTCGATTGCTGCACCATCTTGGTCACCCTCGATGAACTCATCCTCCGTATCGCTGTCCGACATGGGTTCTTCCTTTTTGACTGTGGCTTCGCCTTTCTTCGTCGTGTCGAAACGTGCTAATGCCGCTGCTGCCCTTAAATCCCGGCCTCGCGCGCTTCCTGCGACTCTCGGTTTGCTCTTTTTCTCTACTCCGTTCTCCAGCTTCACCTTGGTGTCTTCATCCGCGCCTAGAGCCTTCCCTCCAGCGCCAAATTTCTTGAGAATCCTCCGCTGCTTTCTTTCCGCATACGTTAATGTCGATTTCTCCTTTGCGCCACGCTTCCTCTTCCCGCCCTTTCGAGCATAAGTACCTCCACAAAGATGTTCAGGGACATCTACATGATCTGTCTCGCTGGCCTGCACTGCGCCAGTGTCAAGCTCCCTGCCCCTACCCCATAACCCTTGGCCAGTGTAGCCTCTCGCCCAGAGTGCCCTTAATTCTACCGCGTATGCATCGCGCACCTTCCAGAAGGCCTTTGAGTGGTTCATCTGCTTACAGTGGGCAAGTTCATGCACCATAACCATTTCAACCATTCTCTGGGGTAGCCATCTTCCATTGCGATCCCTCAGCACCAGCTGTATGACCTCGCCCGCATTGAAGTTGCGACCAACAAACTCGTTGTTATACGGGAACTCCTCGAGCGCCTGGACTAGGATCATGTGTGACTTCATGAAAGGATAGCATATGGCTGCGACACGGTTCAGGATGTTCTCGGCAGTAGCGGATGTTGGACCCGGAAGCGTGCGTATGAAGTTAATGTGGGCGTTGGGTCGTTGAGTGCGCTCATTGATGCGTTCGAAACCGAGGACCATGGCGATCAAGATCGTATCCGTATTCCGTAATCGTAGGTTGTGTATAGTGGTGTGGCAGAGGCTACAAGCATAAGAGGTGCAAGTACTTGGAGGAATGCTTGCTGGGTGGCGGCTGTTTTGCGGAGATAAACATGAGCGGCCGGAGTTAATAGACGCCACTACAACGCGCTGCCACACGTCGCGACGCGACTGCACGTGAGCGTTGACATCACCCATCATACGCTAGATATTAGACGTGAATTCGAGCTTCTTGTGTACACGTACCTTCGAAAAGGAGTTCATATTCGTAGAACTGAGTACGAGGTGGTCATTCTGAAAATACCATCGGTATTGATCATCTTTGGCCACGCAGTGATGCTAACCACTCAATTCACACCCTTACCCACCTCGAGACACAACTGCCCGGAGCGTCAGATCTACTCTCATCTGCTGTTGTTTTCGGACGTTACATTATCTGTCAGGTCACGGAGCTGAGCCACGTCATGCACTAATGCTGTCGGCGTTGAGAATGATGAGGCTGAGTTCTTCAGCTTTCTTACGCAGGATCAACCTCGCCGATACTAAACCGAAACCTATGCTGAAGCCGACGCCGGAACCAACACACAAAATTGGAACAAAAACTTTTGTCATTACAACTTGTTTATGACGGCAACCTGAATCTATGATGATAGTCGAACAACCAGATGAGAACGGACAACCCAAGTAACAGTGAAATATTTCCCGTGGGCCAGATCCTATAGACGACTTCAAAGCCCTCGAATTCAAATGCAGTTTGCCATAGAAAGTAGTATGGGGCTATTAAAATTGACTATCGAGAGGAGCAAACAACAAGTTACACTTCGTTACCAGATTGCCGAGGTTGATAGTTCAACTTGCGGTGTATGGAAATTTCTTGTCGCTACGGGGATGGAATCTGGGCGGTTGGCGACGCTGGTTGGAGCTAACTCGCGGGATTGTCTTTGTGTATTTACGAGGGGCTCGGCAGTTGCTCGTTTCGGAAAATGCTGGCTGTATCTTTTTTTTCACTTTCTCGTCTTAGTCCGTCAGTGGCGTTAATCTAGCCGATGATACAGATCTTGACGGACAGCTACCAAGACTCACGTAATTACCTAAGGGTATCGCATCGATGTCACTCTTTCATCCAACAAAATTATCGTCGTCGAGTCTGCTATGAAATTTCTATGGACTTTTCTCAAAGTGCACCCATCCGCCATCGATTTCAGCAACGGTTGTAATGGAAAGCATCTAGAAATCACACTAATAACAGTCGCATACCATTGCTGATTCCTAATCCATGACCCCTTGCAAAGCTTTTTGCATTGGAAGGATTGCTACAGGAAGCAATCGTAGTGCACAACAGCCTCACCTGAGACGCGCCATGCTTAGGAGATAAATACTACAATATTATTGACAGTAATCAATTTGTATATCACTAACGCAATCTACAGTTCAGCTTGAGCACCACCATAGTCTAGTCAGTGAGAGAAGAGTGGGGCGGTACAATCTTTACGATCTTGGTGCAACTCAGAGTGCAACCATCAACAACGAGCTTCCCCATTTGGAAATTAATGACCTTGAAAGGACTTCTCGTTTCTTGTGGAGATGGAGTATGAAAAGCATGGATGGATACCCGTGATCTTGGGTCGAGCTGAAAGAACCTTCTTAGTGCTTATGTAGCACTATATCGAGCCCCATATGTCACGATGCAACATTCAGCTGAATGCGCACGCGTATTTCTCGAAGTCCTCTCAGTCGCTATAAGAAATCCAAAATTCAATCGACTGAAACGCACAAAACATTACCTCAAATCCCCTTGACTCACCAGTACTATCTTCTACAATGTTTTTCACTCTAGCACACTTATCCCTCGCTTTCTCCCTCCTTCTCCACCATGTCTCCGGTGAACCAGGTGCAACGACTCGGTACTGGGACTGTTGCAAACCGTCGTGCGCTTGGCCCAAGAAAGCACAAGTGTCGGAGACCGTTCGTACCTGCAACAAACAAGACCTGTGGCCGACTCCTCTAGACGCAAATGCGGCTTCTGCATGTGGAAATGGCGAAGCCTACACGTGCAGCAATAACGGGCCGTGGGCTGTGAATGATAATTTGGCTTACGGGTTTGCGGCGGCCAATCTGAAGGGAAGGAATGAGGGGAACTGGTGCTGTGCTTGCTACGAGTGGGTCAAGGAAGAACCTGGTCAGTCGGGCTAGAAGCTGATGTAGTTGCAGACTTACGTTCACCTCGGGTCCCGTCAATGGAAAGAAAATGGTAGTGCAGGTAACCAACACGGGCAGCGACTTGAAGGAGAACCAATTCGATCTTGCAATTCCCGGCAGTGGAGTAGGCATCTTCCCTGAAGGCTGCGCGAAACAATTCAACGGCGCCTGGATGGGCAATCAATTCGGGGGTTATTGGGAGAGAGACCACTGCAACAATCTCCCTGCAGGAGCTTTCCGCGACGGCTGCTTCTGGAGGTTTGACTGGTTCAAGAATGCGGATAATCCCAGTGTAGATTTCAGAGAGGTTAGCTGCCCGCAGGCGATGATTGATAGGACTCATTGTGGAAGGTGGAGCTAGGAAGGCGGCTGTGCTACTGTATGGTAGTTTTTTGATTCGTATCGCACTGTCAATTCTGGTGGCTCCCTCGCCATGCATACGAAATACTGGCAGTTGTATCTCACATGCCTACAGCTATACAACCATGCTGTGTAATCTCCTCTTAGTCAATTTTCAACCCTAGGAGAAACATCACCAGCATTCAAAACAAAAATAACATGACCTTCAAGAGGTCTGATTTGTAGAAGAATACCAACCCATGTAAATCCGGTGCGTCTCATTTTAGCCTAGCTCAATAAACATCTTAACGTCCGGGGTGTGATTTCGATGAGCCTTTTTGTTCGTTAAATGCAGTCCCAATTTTGGTATCTTGAATGTGGTCGGGTAAGTTCCCAACATGGCTTTTACTACTCGCAAATGTTTCTTCTTTTGGACGACCAGACCTCACTCCTGGAATGCGTACACAAGAGACTACATGTAGCATTGTTTCTACTTGATCATTTCGTATCTGGGCTTTTCCTTCCGAATCTGCAATTTCTTATAGTGCTTATTGATCAGCGGTGTGATGTACACATCAAGCGCAACCTCACCTTATTCGTGGGACATTGCGCCGGAGCTACTATGTGACAGATTACGTCATAGGGTATACGTAATGATATTCTACGTGCCGTTCGGAAAGATAAATTTCCTCAGTTTTTAGTATTTGAATACTACGACTGGTTTTTCTGATAGGAAAAGATATCACAGACGTACATACCATGTATCACTTGACTAACAACCAGAATCTTGAACGGGCATACATGTCATTTCTTAAAGCTATACGACTAAAAGAAGGGTCCTAAATACATGGTATCAAGTAATAAAGAAAGGTGGTCATATAACTAAAGTAGATGTTGCAGTGTCCTTGAAACTATCAACCCAACCAGTAGGGCTATGGGATGACTGCCACAGCATGTCCAGAGTTGCTGACACGGACGCAACAGACTGGAATTGCAGATTTTTATGAATTGTATCCAGTGTCTCAGAAATATACGTCCTTTGTGACTCATCAAGCGAATGAGCGCCAGCTACATATAGGGGGAAAAGAGCACAGTTTTGGGCCTTGGTTCTCGGGTCCATACCCTGTATACAGTCCAAGCAAGCTTTTACATGCTGCTGCACAAGGAAGTGCTTGGCCGGGATGTTGTGGATGGCACTGTAGAGATAGATGAGTGCTGCATGTTGAAATGCAATTATCAGTGAAAGTGATGCTTCGACTGTGAGTTGGGCTAATGTTTTGGTAGCATGCTCGCTGGTCTGAGATTCGGTGGGGTTGTCGAGAGTTGGATATGTAGGTTGGAGAGCGCGCTCAAAGGCCTGTGCTTGGTCCATACAAAAATCTGCTCCATTTTGAACTTGATGGCGATAGAAGCTCATCTCAGCCATGGTGGAGAAAACGGAGCCAAGAGTCCTGCTTCCGGGGACAGTCTCCCACCAGACAGAACCGGGCTCCATGAAGTTCCAGATTGTCGCTGGGAATGAAGGGGGCCTATCCTGCAGCAAAGCATCGGTTAGGTCGGTAGATGCCATTTCGGACAAAAGCATCCTAGTAACCCGGTCAGATGAGGTCCATGCTGCTTGGAAGCCGCCAAGGGCGTTGATGATGGCCAATAGTCCTGCAAAGTGGCAGTGGGTGGATGCACCGTCGTTTGTGCAGTTGACATAGCCTTCGAGGAAGTAGAGCAGGAGAACTGCGACGAGGAGGGCAGAGAGAGCACTGCCCTCGGGGACCCCGCCACCCAGATGGGTACGGATGGCGGCCAGACATTGCAAACGCCTTTTGCTTAGACTGGGCTTGGGAGATTCTTTTGTTTGCAGGGCACGGTGCTCTTCGGCAAAGACACATAGGGCCTGGAGGACTGGCTGGGAGCGCAAGGCGAGTGCAACTGGAGGGGGACAGGGCTCGGGAAGAGTGGAGAAGAGAGGCCATAGGCGGGCTCGGAAGTAGTCAATGGCCTTGCGCTCATTCAGAGCCAAGTCGAGGCCGTTGAGCGAGTGCTCTTGAGATAGGCGCGGCTGGGGTTGGGGCACTGGCTTGGCAGGGCGCTTCTTCCAGCGCAGCAAGACTTTGTCATAGCTGCAGTCCTGGGCGTCTAAATTGATGCAGCGGCGGCAGCATGGCTTCTGGAGGTCACACTTGACGCGCCTCTGCTTGCAGGGCCAGCAGGAGCCTTCGACTGTGCGGCGCCGCTTGGGAAGGCTGCTGCCAGACGAGTCTGGGGGCGACATCAGGGTGCATGACGCGGATGAAATTGTGGCGATGGGACAGTGGGGCGAGGGGATCTCGCTTTGAGCAAAAAAAGGCGCGTTATGGGGTCAAGAGCGTGGAGACGAAATAAAAATGTACGAAAGTTGGCATCGAGTCGCTACATTGGGGTGCAAGTGGCCGGGAATTCGCCTCCGGTTTGCCCACGCCCGCCAAGAAATATCAAACCTCCCGTGCCTCCCCTGAACCACCCCGCGCCCTTTCGTATTCGCACCAGCCACACACCCAAACATCATCAGCCGGTCAGTCACCAACAACGTCCACCATCTTTTTTTCTTATTGGGTCTATACACATCTCAGCTCTCCTCATCTTCAACTTCTCCATTGCTTGCGATAAGCAGCAGCAGTGCCAGCAGTATCAGCATCGTCCTTCCGTCCCTTCGTTACTATTGGCTGCGTCGTCTCGATTTGTACGCATCAGCCATGCTCTCTTACCCCGCCTCCGCTCTCCCGGGCTGACTCTTGGCAATTTGCACCAGACAGCGTCTCTAAGACGCTGAGCACTATTCCGTACACAATGGGACGCCCAAAGACGTCTGCTCACACTCACTGCCCATCTACCACCCTATCGGCTGTGGTCGTATGCCACCGCATTGCACGCCAAGCTTCATATCTTGTCCATCCCTCTTGCCCTTTTGGGATTCCGCTGGCGACTTTCACGTGACTTTCACGTGACTGCACACACCCATCGGACCATCGCTAGGCAGAGCGACCAGAAATGCTGGCCGCCGATCCTAGGCCCTCGCCAAAGAAAAGTTCCGATTTGGCATGAAAGGGGGCCGAGGCAAAGCATGTGTTCATTCCTCCTATCTATACCGCTCCGGCTCTCCACCAATCTACAGCCCGACTTCGTTTCCATGTTGGCAGAATGCAATCAACACCATGCGCGCGTCTCAAGCAAGACTGTCGCGCAGCACACAGCTAAATCACTCAAGCTACCGAACCCCGCGGGGCTAGCTAGCTCTTGATGGCATTCAGGACATGTGTCCATGTTTTCAGCATTACCATGTCCGAAGAACAAATCAGTTGCTTGATTCCCATCTCCAGGTCATACCCCCGTCCGTGCGCGTTTGGCACCAGGCTTTGTTTGTCGGCCTTCTGCCTCAGGTCTCAGATCTGCATGCCGACTGTATTGGGTTCTGACATGCCAAACAACATGCCTGCCTCGCTGCCAGTTCAGGCATGCTGATGAACGCCACCATGCAATGTCGCGACAACACACGAAACTACTGCAAGCTCTGGACCCTCGACACTGTAGATCTACACTGCGTATCAGGGAGCCAAGAACCGTCCAGCTAGCCGCTAGCAAACCTAGCAATGATCAGTTGTTCATGCTCGCGTTCGATTGATAGCACCTGTACATACTAATGTATGCATTGCACAGTAAAAACCACACTGCTGTTCTGGCAATGCATTCAAGTACTATTATCTTTGCCATGCTCAACATTTCAATGCTCTCCATGTCGTCAGGCTATGATTCGACAGGCTTGGCATACCGCTTCTGGTTCTAAATGCTCCTTCACCCGCTATCGCCCCGTGTCAGCGGTCCGGATCCGAATCCGTCCAAAGATATCGAGGCTGCGCTCGGACTTGCACACCTGCAAGGCTTGCAGCTGAGAGTTTGTTGGCTGCCTTTCCCCGATATCCTTTTGCCGGAGGCAGTGACTTGTCTCGCGTATGCAGGGATGACTCCTATTTAGTGACTATTTTTGCCATTTCAAGAACGCCTTTGGTTTTTGCTGCCATGCTAAGCCTGACTAGATACAATGACGCCTTTTGAGCAATGGCACTCCACCCCCGTTGACACACCAGAGAGATATATAAGGGACCCTCCCACATGTGGTCTCGTATCTGTTCCCTAGCCCGCCGATCTCGTCTTTGATCGTTCGTCTGTTCTGTCATTCCCTTATTCATCCATCTTTATATTTATATATTTTATACACTGTTCTTACGTCCACATGGTTTTCAAGGCAGCTCTGACGTTTTCCCTTCTCGGGCTTTCCCTCTTCGCATCAGCAGGGCCCTTACAACAGCGGGAAGCTCTATTGGATATACTTGAAGTCGAGCTTGGTGGTAGCTTCAACGAAATTGGGCAACTTGTCCAAGACATCATTGGTGGCAGCAAACCTGCCACCGACAACAATCAGAAACCAAAACCTTCCAAATGCGATCAGAGTAAAGATAAATGCTGCGTGTGTAAGTTGACCAAAGCATGTGTTTGGTGCATTACAGACTGATAGACACTAGGGTACGATGTTTCCGCAGAACTAACTAAGCTTTTTGTTGGGAAAGATAAGCAGTGTAACGATAATGCTCGAGCAGCCGTCCGCATGGGTTTCCATGATGCAGGGTCGTGGGACCAGAGCTCCAGCCATGGCGGTGCCGACGGATCGCTGATTATGGATTTTGGCGAGCATGACCGTCGCGAAAACAACGGTCTTCAAAGTGTACGCACACTGCTACGCGGGGTGCGAGACAAGTACAAGGTGGGAGCTGCCGATCTTGTACAATACGCCCATAACCACGCCACCGTCTCCTGTCCGAAAGGACCGCGTGTGCGTACCTTCGTCGGACGATTGGATGCCACCAAGGCCAATCCGAAGGGCCTTTTGCCAGACACTCATGACAACCCTGACAACCTGATTGCTTTATTCAAGAGAAAGGGCATTTCTGAACGCGAGCTGGCAGCTCTGGTGGGTGCTCACGCAACAGCGCGTCAGCGCTTCGTCGATACGTCACCAGCAGCGGTCAACAAGCCCCTCGACTCTACTCCTGGTGTATGGGATGTGGAGTTCTACAATGATACGCTAAACAACCCTATCGGTGCTACGGCTGAGCAAAAGGTCTTTGTCCTTCCCAGCGACAAAGCGCTGTCCCAACACCCCAAGACTAGTGGCGACTGGCGAAGATTTGTCGGAAATCAGGGCGGGTGGAATGCAGACTATGCCCGAGCTTACATCAAGGTGAGCCTGTTTGGGGTCAAGCAGGAGCAGTTAGCCAAGATGGTGGACTGCACTCAGACGCTGCCTCTTAGCCGAGACATATTCCCATAGATAGGCTTCCAGTGCGCTTGTAAGAACTTGTAATACCCTTACCATGTATAATCTTTGATACTGTTCATAATATATCCTGGCCTGTATGGGCACCCAGCGGCTTGGTGTGTAATTCCTGCCTCAGGGGCTCTTGTACAAGTTCTTTTTCTCTCGTGAAGTCACTAGTGTCCAAACCTGCGGCAACCATTGTGGCCGGCTCACAAGTCTTACTCCTGATCTTCATTCCCTACTGCGAACAGCCTCCCGCATGGTGGCCGTGCGCCCAAAAAGCAGTCAGAAGCAAGGCGCCTAGACCGAGGCAGTGCGGCAGTCACGCCAAAAGGATCAGCGCAGCTTTATGGGTTGCATCATACTTGGCTTCCAGAATACATCCTCAAATCATGGACAAGATGCCATGTGATTTTATCAATTGCAGCAGCAGACATAGTCCACTCAATCGAGACTGGCGGGGTGTGTTGCTGAGTCAGCCAATCAGCAGCCAAGGGTCCATGTCAGGCGAGCGATGAGAGAGCTTGCTTGTTTGGAGAGTGCGGAGAGCTCAGCTAAACGTCACCAACCGGGCACACGAGCGACATCCACCACCATCCACCCCGCCGTCTATACTGTCGCCATATACCCGCATACCAGTCAATTCTAAGTCCAGCCACGACACAACCGAAAAGAGCACAAAAGGAACACAATGGCTGCTCAGCTCTTGAGGCAGGCGGCCCGCGCTGGAGCGGGATGCCGACCTCCCATGATGGTTGCCTCGCGCGCATTCCGAACCAGCGCTGTCCTCAGACAGGATGCAGTCGCTGCGCCAGTCAAGAAGCCCGTCGGTGCTTTTCGCGGAGGGTGAGTTGCTTCATTGATGTACGGGCGGGTCTGGCAAACAAAATGTTGGGCGCCGTGGGAGTGGGGGGAAGAACAATTCAGAGACATTGGGCGGCATGGCGAAAAGCAAGAGACATGGCTAACAAGATACAGACTCTTCGGCTTCCTCCTCGGTGCGACCACGTCCGGCGCAGGCATGTACTACTATGTCATTGACGAATACCGCGTTTCCAACCAGCTCCTCACCGAAGACATTTACGTACGTCATCCCTCTGTTTGGTGCCCTACGAATGCGCAGTTGTTCAGGTCGAAGGCATCTGGGGGATAAGACAAGGCAATTGGATAGTGGCTGACATGACAACAGGCTCTCCAGTCGGCCGTACAACGGATAGAGGGCTACGTCCGCACCCTTGAAGAGAAGGTCGATGCGAAAAAGCGATAAACACCTCCTTTTTCGACATCCCGAGCGATTGGCGGACATTTGGTCAAACCCAATAGGAGAGAATGCACATGAGAGACAGCGACCGACAGATAGCATAACACAACGTGGGGGTCAAGCGGGATGCGGCGGATATGTACAATACCACAACAGTCTTTGCTCGCTTCATTTTGAAATTGCAACATTGTGGCAAGTATCTTACGGTGTATCAAACGGATTTTGTCAATGGCAATGCTAATTACTAATCTGTACAATGGCTGGCAATCGATATATTGACAGCGAAGCGGCTGACGCCTAATTCATATTTCTTCTCTACTCGGTCTTGGCTTGCGTCGGAAGCGTTATATGCACAGGACACCGGGATTTCGTTTGCCCAAGGCGCGAACAAAGAAAATCACTATATGCAGCTTATGATGTATTCTTTTCTAGGCCGAGAATGATAGGCGAATCCGATACTGCCCGTATGTGTGGACGATTGGTAATGCAGACGGAAACACCCGGTCTCAATACCTCTTGTTACGCAGCTCAATATGTATGACATGCGATCTTTAAGTCAAGGAGAGAAAAGAGTATTGCCTCCATGACTGAAGTTTCTGAGGATGGCTAGTCACCAGAGACCTTTACAAACACTATTCAATGTCCAAACCCAGCGGGCCAAAACACCGCTCTGACCCATTCATGGTTCACCAAACACCCTAAACTCATTTATTTACTCTGCACTTTCAACCTCCGCCAACCGCGCAGAAGCATAAGTAACCGGATCCTCAAACATGATCCTAGCCCTCTCCCACCGCAAACAGCATTCCATCCCCTTCCCTCAAAACCTCCTCTTGTGCACAACCCATAGCCTTCCCCCGCTACATACCACGCAACCCCGTGACATGTCAATCACCGCGCCACAATGCGTCCAGCCCCCACCCATACATTTCCCTGCGCTTCTCATGCAACCTCTATACAATCTTTGCAAGTCGCCCCCCCCTCCAATACCGTCTTTAAATCAACAGCGTAGACCGACACCGTATGACGAAGTCCTTGATCATTGGGTATTACTACACTCGTCACATGCAAAATGCAGGAAAGTTCATAGATTAAAAGGCCATGTTCATGTCTTATTGAGGATGGGGGAGTCTTCGATTACGACGTATATAGGCAAGACAAAAAGGTAAGTGCGGATGCAACGTTTTGAAGAAACTTCCCGTTTCTTTCTCTTATTCTTTGCCATCACCTATAATGCGCCAAGATAGTATAAGAGGGATAAATTTGGAGTGTGTAGATTGTATATAGATTGAACGTTCGCCAGCCCCTGCGAGAACTAAAGTGTCTGGACACTGACTATGTAAATCTATGCCTGAGGAGAGTAAAGTTGAAAGTACATGTTTTCCTGCGGATGTGCTATGGATTTTGGCCCATAAACTAAATCAAAGACAAAGGAAAAAAAAACCCGATCGAGAAGAGTACTGCAGATTTGTGTTGCTTGAACAGTCTACCGCTGATTTGGAGAGTAGTAGGTAGTAGTAGACTTGGCTACACCTCTCATCACGTATGCCTAGGCGTAAGCTTAACATCCAGTTTACCGACAGTCACAGTGAAGCAATCGCTGGTCTTCTTTCTAACCGCGCTTCCATCTTCGCCGTCTGCAAACTCAAACTCAAACGATCGCACTAGGTTCGCGACGACGGAGCGCATTTCTATCATAGCCAGCTTCTGTCCGATGCAGTTGTAGGGCCCAGTGCTGAAGGGGAGAAACGTGCGCTTGTCCATGACCGAGGTGGGGCTTTCGGAGAACCAGCGTTCCGGCATAAAGTCGAGAGGCTTCTCCCAGTAGCGTGGGTCGCGTTGGATGGTGTAGGTTGGTACCTGTACGATGACTTTTCCGGGAATGTAAGTTCCATCGGGGAGAGTAAGTCCCTCGCGGGGTGTTTCGCGCAAAAGGCCAGAGGGGACCGCCGGGTGAAGTCGTAGAGTTTCCTGGATGACACCGTTGAGATATTCGCATTCTAGAAGATCGTTGACGTCGAGATGAGCTTTTCCGGGGTTGATGGCATCAATCTCCTCGCGAAGTTTGGCTTGAATGTCTTGCTTGGAACAGAGTTCACAGACGAGGAAGGACAGTGTTGCCGCTGTTGTGTCGCTGTCATGAATGTCAGTACCGATACCCGGAGTTATTTTCCCAACCGAACACAATGCAATTGTGTATGTATGCAGCAAGTCTTTTTGACGTCTTGTTGGGAGATTGGGATTTGGGCCACCACATACCTGCCGGCTACGATCAAAAGCCGAGAATCAGTGATCATGTCACGTGTGACTTGATCGTCACCTTCCTTCAGCAGTGATGCGAAAACGTCTTTCTCTTTTGGCGTAGTCTAGCCTTTGTTAGACACTTTCAAACCACTGGGAAAAATGTTTGTCTCCTTACCTTGATGCGCTCCTCGAGTACCTTGCGACTCCACTCTAAGTGGTCAACTAGTGGCTTAGCACCAGTGCTAGTTCTCAATGCAAGTACCAACGCCCAAGGGATATGGCTACCCACGCTGAGCGGCACCATGCTATCATGAAGTAACTTGATAATCTCATCTTCTTTACCCTTTTCAAGCATACCAAAGCTGCGATTAAATCCCACGTCGCCCATGACATCGAAGCTGTAAAAGTTGAGCCAATTGGTGATTCTTACTGGGCCTTTTGACGATTCCTCTTTAAGTCTTGATATCAGAGTAAGAGCATGTCGATTGAGGCGAGGCTCGTAGTCGCGCAAAGCCTTTGCGTTGAAGGCGTGATCCCAGGTCTTGCGCCGCTGACGGTGCTCCATCTTGTCCTGTGTTGTCTGCAGCGAATCCCCAGAGGCTTCCCTACTGATTCCATAGAAGGATTCAGCCTTGACGCATTTGGACATGGGACCATGAATGAGTGGAACGGCATCAGCGGAGTAGACCGTGACCTCTCTTGGACCAGTCCGAATCACGTCTGACTTATACTTTTGGTAGAGTTCCTCCTGCCACTCAAAATATCGGGCTCCAGTACGGAAGACGCCGGTATAGACTCCATATGCCTTGGAGAGCCGTGCTCCAAAAGGACCTGGGAACTAGGGCCTCTCAGTGCCAAGACCGAGAACCAGAGTGGAAAGACGATGTTAAACGAAAAAGAAAAAAACATTCAACTATTGCGTGCAGACATACCTTTCGAAGACGATGGAAGAATCCACGATAAATCAAGATGCTAGCAGTCAGAACGCTAAAGTATACTGATGCTACCGTGGCTGTGATCTGCACTGTGGCTGCTATACTCCCGGCATGCTGACCAGTCGTGTATATGATAGCTGCTAAACCTGCAAAGGCTAGAGCCCACCCGCGTAAGACCAAGTAGAATGCGATGGTGAAGTCAAAGATATGAAGAAGATAGTGTGTGACCAGTGCGAGGTAAACAATGACTGGTTTGCTCTGCAGAAGGTCGCCAAGAGCCCTGAAAGTAGATGACATGGTCACCATGATGGAGAGAAACTGAGATGGTGGGTAAAGATGATGGAAACCTAGCCACGGCTTGGGCAGTAGTAAGACGGATGAGATGGTCTTCACCGGATTAATTTCATCCGGTTATGGAGTTGTGAGGCTGCAGAGTGATGAGAGACAGAATAGGCGAGGCTCTCAGGTCTTGTAGGATATAGCCAGATACAGCACGACTTGTGCCTTCAGCTCGGTCCAGGTGAAAGGCGGTAGCTGCTAGGTGGTCGCTGTTGTGTGAGCATACAGCGGCATATGCAAGAATTTCGTTGTAGTGAACGGGCCCACTCGAGCATCGGACTTACTCGTCCCCCCTTACTCGTCCTATATTACATACGACAGTCACGAGATATTTCTGGCATGTCTCAGGACTCCCTGTGGCTATCAGTGACCCACACCAAGCACCAGGGATCACACAGTAGAGAGAAATTGCGACAACCCCACATCAAAAAACTTGATACGCTTCGGGCCTCGGTAACCCACTCTTAGCAGTGTATTTGTACCCAAAAGGGGAATAGCGTGGCTAGAAGAGTGAGAATCAAGCTGTTTTTTATGAGGGGGTGGCGCTACGTGGCTCCGAATCCGACTTAATGCATCCGATCCCGTTATCATGGCGATTGTCCGTTCTCCGTTCTCGAACTGCGACGGAAGGCCAAGATTTTGTATTCAGCTAACTAGAGATAGGATAGTTTAATTATTAGTATAGCTTAGCTGTTTTCGTTTAAGCTAGTAAGTGTTACAAGTAACAAGAAGGATTCTCTCCTTGACAAGTGGTTTAACTTCCGTTGAGCACGTACATTCTGTTGCGTACTACTATGTATTTTCTCCAATAAGTGAGGGAAAAAGATAGCCGAAAAAGCTCCTGGGTATTGTTTGAAGTCAGCGGCTCCACAAACAAAACATGCCGATAACCGAAATAGTACCCGCCCAATCACAGTAGCCCTATAGACAACCGGAAATCTCAAAAATACGTCGGATATGTTGCCGCCATGCCCTAGTCAACTTTTCCTCGCTTGATTGCAGCTTTCCGCTGTATTTGTTGTTTTTGTGGTTGTTGTTGTTGTTGTTGTCGTCGTCGTCGTGTTTGCTGTCATCACTATGAAGCAGGTCGTTTCGGGACAGCTCGCAATAGATGGACGTTCTTTCCTGCGTGATGACCTGATAATTGATCCTAAAGTCAAATCTTGGCACGCAGAAGCAGTCGGACCGACCGTGTCGCCGGAAGCCTTTTGGTGCGAGCATTTGCTGTCTCATGAGAGACATTGTGTCTGCCATCCTGCAGATTTCTGGCCGATCGAGACTCCAATATATTTCCAAGCACTCGAGGTTCTCCACTTTGAACAGCGGTTGGACCCAGGGAGCCACCCATGGGCGCGAAGCAGTCGTCCGTTGCGCCTCCCACTTGATACAATCTGTAGGGGAGGGGAACACTGGCCTATAGAACTGATGTAAACTGTCGATAACAAGGGTAAGTTTCCTCAACTGCATGCGTGGGCTCGAGAGCAAGGTACAGAGATTGGTAAAGTCGTTGTAAGCATACCGCAGTACAACCGAGTCTGTGGATCTGGCGACTATGGGATAATGGGCTTCAGTCGTGCCTCTTAAATTTGTCCCCTCTCCCAAGGTGATTTGCATGGATGAGATGAGATTGAGCGACTTCGCGGGCCGATCGCACAGGAACGCAAATGCCGTTGGGATACCCTCTACTGTCTTGAAACCGAATACATTTTTGGCGTAGAAGATATCTCGGGCTTCGTGATAAATTTGCTGGCAGGTTTGCAGCAGATGGATGCCGATTTGTTCACCAAATGGGAGACTGGATTGGCGTGTGATTTGATATGTCATCTGAACATGGCTTGGAGGGAGTTCGGGATCATCTTTGAAGGATGGTAGACCAATATCAAATCGTGGTATTGCCCAAACTCGGCGGTGGGAACGTATGTGTGTCAAGGGATACGACTGCCTAAGTTGTCTATAGAATTCGGGGCATTGCTTTGCCGTGATTTCAGGAACGGTGGCCGCGGCTCGTTCGATGAGTATGATGTCGCGCACCAGTACATATTCATAAATGAGGTCTCGAATCTCTCGTGGAACTTGAAGGAGTCGTGAAGTCATTCTTTGATGGCCTTTGGGTTTCGCAATGCTCTACACAGTGCTTAGTACAATGGCGGCGCGGAGAGTTATTCCATGCAGAGTGGTGACGTTATCGGTCTGATAGAGTATAGTTCGACGAGTCGATGCACTAGCGTGAATCACCACTTCTCCTCTCTGCGGACCAAAATATCCGGATCAAAATTATCTCCACTAAAATAGTTATACGCCGGCAGCCTAGAATTACACAGTTCTTCCTTGTTGTATTGTAATAAAACGCTAAACCTCCGACATATGGAGCCTATTTTTCTTAGATGCTTAAGTTGTGGTAGAGGCAGCTAATCTTCAATTTCGGCTATGTTTTAATAGGGGTCGATCTTAATCTAGTACCTAGCATTTTGACCTAGCACCGAGGGTCACCCACTGTATTGATGACTGTATGTCTGTGCTCGGCAGTTAGTGGCTGTGCATATACTTAGGGCTCCTAAGAGTATGATAAAATTAAATTCTTCTGACGATGGTTGAAGACGATGTCGAGTGCGTCTGGGCCATGTGCTCTCCCCTCCATCTCATCTCAACCAGATAATAGCATCTACACTCTAATAATTCCTGTTTTTCTGTTGGGAGATTGATTACTCTCCATTCTCAGTCTATAACCAAGTACCTACTAAAAATATTTTTCTTCTGAATCCAATTCCAAATCCACACATGAATTCGTATGCAGCATGCTCAATATCCCAATAACCCCTATAATCTCTCCAATCCACACGCGACGTTCACTCAAGTCTAATCCCTCATCATACAACCTCAAAACCATAAGCCAACGCAACTTTGGCTTACAACAGCAAAGATATTCATACAATTCAACACCTAGTATCACGTCCCAGAATCACTACACAAATTCCTCCGCGGGTATAAATGACGTCAGATATAAAAACCTCCCCCAAAAGCCGTTCAGCCTAATAACAATAATAATAACATCCATATCCACATACATATCTCCCAAAACAACTCCGTCCACTATGCTTCTTCCCATCCCTGACTGCTCAAAATGACAATCCCAACCCCAACCCCAACCCCCTTCCCCATCCTCATCTTCACAAAAACAACCTCCTACCGCCACACCTCCATCCCCTCAGGCCTGGCTCTCTTCCAGCGCCTCGCCTCGCACCACGCATCCCTCTCCGTAACCACAACCGAAGACTCATCCATCTTCACCCCCTCAGCCCTCGGCCCTTACCGCGCCATCATCCTCCTGCAAACCCTCGGTCCCGCCCTGCTTTCTGCCGACCAACTCTCCGCGTTCAGAGACTGGCTGCAGCGCGGTGGCGGCGTGGTAGCTATCCACGGTGCGGCAGCGGGGATGCCCGAGGATGCCTGGTGGGGAAAGATGATCGGTGCGAAGTTTCTTTCGCATCCGGATCCAGAAGTTGGATCGCTGGTTTTGGATTCAGCGGAGGTGGAGGAGCATTTTGTATTGAGTGGGTGTGGGGGTAGGCAAGGGTGGAAAGATGAGTGGTATAATTTTCATGAGCATCCGAGGGAGAATGCGGGGTTGGAGGTTTTGCTGAGGGGGGATACGAAGACATTTTCGGGAGGGATGCATGGGGAGGATCATCCGTTGGTGTGGTGTCAAGAGTTTGAGGGGGGAAGAGTGTTTTTTACGGCGTTGGGGCATTTTGATGAGGCGTATGAGGACGAGTGGTTTAGTGGCATGGTGGAGAGGGGGCTGTTTTGGGTTGCGAGGCGGGAAGGGGAGTTGAAGAAGTAAGGATGCTGAAGGGAAAGATGCAACGAGACTTCGTTGTTTGCTTTCATCGAGCCGTACCGATCGAATTTTTACACCGAAATTCAAATGACGCTCACATACGCTTTCAAGAGACATTTTGTTCTAACGCCAAACTGTACGCTACCAAAAGAAAAGGCCGTATATCCAAGGACACAGCATTTTTGGGTTCCCATCCCAATTGTGAGTCAAATGTCCAATTCTATTCTTTTTCTTTTTCCTTCTCCTCTTCTTTCTCCTCTTCCTTTGCCTTTTCCTTTTCAGGTTTAGGATTGAGGTCCCAGTCAATGCCCCCGTCTTTTCCATATCTCTGAACAAGCCATTCATTACATTTAGTGAAATGCCCACAGTCAAACTACTTGTTGTCAGCACAATCATCATCCCATGGTATCACTAGGTACAAAACTTACGAATCCTCTCGCTGCACTTAGCGGGCTGGGGTGCACACTCTTGAGAACAAGATGCTTATCCACTGGGATGCCCTTTGTCCTCTGTTGGGCTGGAGTGCCCCAGGCCAAGAAGACGACACCGTTGGTTCGCACCTTTGCCACGGTGTCAATCACTTTTTGCATGAGCAATTCCCAGCCTTTGCCAGAATGCGAGTTTGCTTCGCCTCTGCGAACAGTCAAGCAGGTATTGATGAGCAACACGCCCCGCTCGGCCCAAGGAATCAGCAGTCCACCTTTGTTTGGCGGTGGCTGGTAGTCTGGGTATTCCTTCTTAAGGGCTTTGTAGATGTTCTGGAGCGAGGGTGGGGCGGGGTTCGGTGGACGGATGGAGAAGCAGAGGCCGTGGGCTTGGTTGGGGCCGTGATAAGGATCCTGGCCTGTGATGACTACCTTGACTGTGTTAAGCGGTGTGTGTCGCGACCTATACTTGCCTGTCAGTATGTGGAGTTTGAAAACTGGGGTTATCGAAGGATTGGTAGACGCACCATGAGTAAACGTCTTTCATTGGGGGATAGACCGTCTTGCCGCTCGCCAGCTCCTGCTTGAGGAAACGTTTCAGTTGCAGAAACTGGGGCGTTACAAGCACATCCTTCAGATGCGGGAGCCAGCTCTCGTGCATGGTATCGAGCTCAAGCTGCAGAAGGTCCTTCTGCTCATCGGTGAGTTTGGCAACCCAGGCATCTTTGTCAAACTTTGCAGCTGCAGCCGTCTGCTTGGGGGGTGCATTGGGGTCGGTTTTGGGTGGGCCGAAGAAGGCAGTAATGCTGCCGTTCTGCTTGGTCTTCTTGGACGCGTCGGTAGCTGCAGCGGCGGCTTTGCGTTTGAGACTCATTGCTGGTGTATGACTTGGTGTGGGCTATGTGTAATGTATCACGAGAGTAAAGGGGCGTAGATTGACATGTAAGCATCCCAATCAATTCACTCCCCAGCCGCCGATAGGCAGTCGCGTAACCCTGAGTGACGTCGAAGACTCGACTGCGGCTCTGATTGGTCGTCGCGAGACACGTGGGCACGTGAGTGCGCGAGACGCGTCGCCGTGCAGAGAACCATGACATCACAGCTCAGCTCACCACCATAGGATGGGAACAGGCGTCAAGTCTACGCCAGGCTGCCATCAAGCCACGGCTGCAAGCAGATGGAGAGCCTGTTTCTGGGCAGGTATATGCTAGTGCCGGAATAGCCAATGGTGGGGAGGGCTCCCGCTTTGGGCCCTCTCACCTGCGCCTACAAACCTGCTACCCGCAATTGTGACGTGATGCTGTGTGGGGAAAGCAATCAGACGGGCGTTTGAAGCATCAAAAGCAACAGGAACAAACGAGTACCAGTGTCTATATATCACCTGCTTCTCTCATCCGTCTCTCTCACTTCTCACACCATTCCCACCCGTTAGTTCAGACTCAAACTTCAACAACAACTTCACAATATCTTCAAAAAATGGCCTCTTCCAACCCCGGAAACTTCGCCAACCTGCCCAAGGACGAGCTTAGGGAGATTGCTGCCAAGGGCGGTCATGCATCTCACGGCTCCAATCACCACGACGTATGACAATCACTTTGATCCTTGTCGGTCGTTGATGTTCCCTTCACTAACTGCTCCTCCAGTCCTCCTCCAACGACCACCCTGGCCGCAACCCCGACGGCACCTTCACAAAGGGCTCTGAGGTTGCCAAGGAGTTGGGTGCACAAGGCGGCCATGCCTCTCATGGCTCGGATGACACTGGTTCCCACGCTCACAAGGACTCTGGTGTAAGTTAGCAGAGAATCGCGGCAGGACTTCTTGACTGACTGCCTCGTAGCGCAACCCCGATGGAACCTTCAAGAAGGGCAGCGAGCTTGCTTCCGAGTTGGGAGCCCAGGGTGGACATACCTCGCACTAGAGCCCTACATGTCTGCCACTCAACGCTATGACTGCGAGTCTCCATTTACCCGTAATCTCAAATTCATGAATGACTACGAAATTATGATGATAGCATAAATCAAATCCACTTCACAAAGACTTGCATACTTTTTGCGTCACAACCAGTCTCGTCTTGGGAAAACAAATTCAAAAACAGCACACTTTCGTCATTTTCTATCATCGCACGTCATGCCTACTAACCTCCCCATCGTCCCCTCTGCTCAACCACTTCCCCCCCCCTTGCACTGCTCTCCCCCTACATGTTGTACTCCACCTCCCCTCTAACCAGAATAGCCAAGAGCATCCAGCTCCTTCTTGATCTGAACCTCGGTACTAATTTTCTTGATCTGAGTGTCCTCAAGCTTCTCTCCGCCTGCTTGCCTCATCTTCAGCTCTTCAATGGCACGCATCTTCTTGAGCAAGCCGCGAATCTTCTTGTCCTGAGGGCCGCCGTCTCCGGGGCTAGTGACAGTGAGGTCGGGCGGAGGAGCATGGCCTTCCGTCTTGATTGGAGGAGCATGGCCAGCACCCTGTTGACCGGGGTTCTGTCGGCGATTGCCCTCTTGCCTGGCCTGACGGTTGGGGCTGTTGCCATAATTGCGGGCTTGGCTAGCGCTCCTTCCGTGTTGCTCATATCCGCTCTTGCTGCGGCTGCGTTGGCGACGCTCTGGGCTACGACCGTCAGTGGCTCCATTAGAACCATTGGCACCGTCTACACCCAGACCAGCAGCCTTGTCAGCAGCTTCACGCGCCTTTTTAGCTTCGCGCTTCTTCTTGTTCTTCAAAGCGGCCTTGGAAAGCTCTCCGTCACCATCCTGAGCACCGGTAAGACTGACACCACCACCAGGGGCAGCACCGGGAGGAAGAGACTCGGCGGTGTCTGCACCAGGCACCTCACGACGACGCGGCTTGCCGAATCCATTGGCAAACCCAACGTTTGTCGATGAAACGCCAGTGTTGTGGAAGGCTGCACCTCCCTCGTCCTCACGCTTGAAGTGCAATGGAGTAGCTGTTCCACGCGCGCCAGGAGGACGGTAGGCACCAGCAGGCTTCGAGGGTGTCTTTTGAGTGCTGAGGTACGCCAGCGCTGACGAGTGCGGCGTTGGGACAGCAGTCAGGGGGTCCGCCAGCGGGTACATCGACGTCGGCTGAGGTCGCCAAACAACATGATACAGCTCCGTCATGTCCTCATTGTACATGAGACCGCCGCTGACATGGTAGATACGAATGCCATTGTCAACTCGCAGACGCGGGCTAGTCGTTGCAGTGAGGATATGCTGGCCGTCCGGACTCCACTCGCAGTATGTGCAGTTGGATGTCTTGACGTGGCACACCTTGGCGAAATTCTTCTCCAAATCATAAATATCCATGTCTCCAGCAAGATTGCCGAAACCAGCGACAATGACAAAACGACCGTGGGGGCTGAACAGAATAGTGTTGCGTGGGCCCAAATCAAAGCTGTGCTGGGGAACTGCCCGCTGGTTGAAAATGGTCGTCTTTGCAGGCATGTAACCGTAGGTAACACCAAACTCCTTCGAGTTGGGCGACCACGAGACATCATGAATAGGTCCCTCTTTATCCAACTGGATGCGCGAATCGAACGTGCCGTTGGCGCTAAGAATATACATATTCGTCTCTCCGTAGTAGCTCTTGTTGGTCTTGTCAACCTCAGTCTGGGCTAGCACAATCAGGCTGGTACCAAGGTCATTCCACTTGAGCTGAACCTTGTCACCCTTGAAGAAGGTCTTTTGCGATACAGGTTGGCTGAATTGAGGTACCGCAAACACCTTGACGGCAGCGGGCATGCCCTTGCGCTCCGGCACAAAAACTGCAACTGAATGGTTCTTACCGGGCGACAGGGCCATTTCCGTTACTCCCTCTACACGGAGCTTGTTCCAGGGGTTACGCAGATCACTCGATTGGAAGAACTGCACCTCGTTTGTCACAACGCGGGCGCAGAACTTCTCGTCGGATGTGTATTGCAGGTTCCAGCCATTCTGGTTCTTCTGAACGTATTCGCCAATCACTGCCCGCGATCCGTCATCTTCGGCTTCGTCGGAGAGCGTCTTCCAGACCCGGAGGTTCTTTGTCGCATTTCCGTCCTCGTCCTTGGAGGGCCGCTGCCATGTTATAAGGTAGGTGCCCAGTGGAGAGAAACCGAGCTCGTAGACGTTCGGTGTGGGGAGTGTGGTAACAATATGGCCGACGGAAGCGTCAATTACAGAGACCCTATGAAGGTTAGTCTATCTGTGCAGTCTAGATAGCCGCACACAAGCGCACAGATGTGGATTTGAAGGATGACGAATTGTTGGCGTCTCGAGAGACTCCTCAATTGCTTTTCCATCATGTCATCTTCAATCTTCAATTCTAGTGTGCTCGTCTGCGATGCATGTGATGTCTTGTGGCGCTTACTGATCAGGTGTAGCCCATGCGAAATACTTGCTGTCTGGCGAGTAGGCGCAGCAACGAAGGTTGCCTTCTGGGCGCACGAATCCTGGAAGCGGCTCGTAGACTGGAGCAGCATTGAAGAGCCCGATGCCCTTGGCGGAACGGTCTGTAAGCCAAAGGTGTTAGCGTGTTTCAACAGACAAAGTCTCGCTGTGTTGCTTTTGTTCTTTGGGGCTACGTACAAGCCAACTGTGTGGGAACAGCCATGATAACTAGTCAAAGTCACAGGAAGTCGTCCAAAAGCGGGCGTTGGGCAAGGTGCTGGTGGTCGCGAAGTCTGGCTCAAGGGCTTGAGCTGAGTGTGGTGTGTTGGCGATGTTGGTAAGACTAAGACAGGAACACGTCGGGTGTGGGTATGGGGGTTGAGAAGGTGACGTAGTTTCTGAGGCTCTTGGGGGCCAAGGGCAGACTTTGGGCGCACGCAGCGGCAACGGGTGGATCAAGAAGGAGAAAGGGAACACGCGCCAGAGAATTGAAGGGTGACCGTGTGACGAGCGTAGCTGGAGAGATGGACGACTGTCGAGAAAGAAATCCGTGGGCATGCGCGCTAGTGCTCGGGGAAAATGCGGGCCGTTGGTGGTCCTGCCTGGCTGTGTGACATCAGCCTCGCTGCGCCTTGCCACTCCTGAAGCTGAGGGTATTGATGGATACGAGTCTATCTGCGCTCGTTTAATAGTATAAGGATATTGAAGGCAAAAGACTATTTTGCCTCTAAACTCCATTTCGTCGTGTCTGCAGCAAACGAAGCAAGGTGCCATGATCTGCGTTCAGCTTCACAGCTGGCTGGGCCAGACTGCCATACTAGCACACTGCTCCTGCATGGAATTAACTTGCTTGACAAATGTCCACATCGATCGAGCAGCAAATCACCAGACACTCGGATTCACGCCCACAACAAAAAGCAAAATGTGAGTGTGGCGTCTGCACCGTCAATTATCACATGCAGAATCTCAAAGGTACCTGACCTGGGCTTATCGTTATCGCTTCAGTAGCGCCCTATGACAAGCTCCCGCACGCGATCTCCATCCCAACTCCACCGACCCATCGCAGCTGCTGCTGTCTGCCGCTCTTTGAGCGCCCCGCTGTCAGGATGCCTCCCTCAATGCCTGCCCCGTCCATTCGCATACCGATAGAGCTGCTCACTCCTACAGCCTTTGCGCAGTTTGGTACTGTCATCGAGAATCCGTCAACATCGCCGTCAGCAAAGCTACCCATTTCAAACCGCGTACAGGCGCCCGAAGCAGTGTCCGCCAATCAGGGCTCTGCGACAAAGTACCTCGATGTCACCCACATGTCAAATCTGTATACCCTTGCGCCCAGCAAAAAGCCGGCTCGAGCCGTCATGAACATGTTTGTTTGCTCACCGCGCAACTTGCGCCCGCACGAGCCGAGCATGAGCATGCCGAGCTCCTGGGGCGACTTGGACCTGGATGAGGACGAGGACGGAAATGACGACTGCCTCAAACAGCTGTTGGATGTCTCTATCCTCGAGCGCCACCCTTTTACCACACAAACGTTTATACCCATGGGTTTGGCGCAACACGACAAGCACACACAGTACCTTGTCATAGTTGCACCAACCCTCCCTGCGAGCGCGTCCAAGTATCGGACAGACAGGGCCCCGCCATATCCTGCGCCAGTTATGAAGGGAAATGGGAGTGTGTTCGACATATTCGGGCGAGGAAAACCAAGTCCCTCGGACGAGGGGACGTCCGCGCAAAGCCACTTTTCGCATCTGCATCCGTCTGCGCGACCCAAGGGACCCGGCCTCCCAGATCTCAAGAATGTCCGCGCCTTTGTTGCGACTGGAGCTCAAGCTGTGACTTATGGCGCCGGGACATGGCATGCACCTATGGTAGTCATTGGAGACCGGCCAATCGACTTTGTAGTTGTACAGTTCGCGAACGATGTAGGTAACGAAGACTGCCAAGAGATATTACTGAAGCCAGATGAGACCGCTACAGAAGGCGTTGTGGTCACTGTCGACACCAATGCAGCAGGCACCGTACAAGTCCAGGCTGGCGTTGGCTCTGTAAAAGCAAAGTTGTGATGTATTCAGGTAGTTGATGTGGTGTTTTCTTACCAGTAATGAGGGATCAGTTTTCTCCGCGGGCTCTAATGATTCATTTATACCCGAAACCGAATGGGAAAAGCGCAATTGATGAAAATTCCACTTGTCATTTTATCACAGGTCGCACAATCTTGGGGCTAGTCTCATAGGTTTGGACGTACATGCAAAACTTGCACTGTGTTAGCTACTCCGGAAGAAGTGTCTTTTCTCGTCCACTGGGCTATCCATCTCGCTTACTATCTTGTAATCAGGCCACCAATCTACCCTACCCACTCATATCATGCAGGCACATATGCTTGGAGTTAGAATCAGGCAGATCTATGAATACGGCCCCATTATCAGCCTTACTTATTGGCTAAATTGTTTCGAGCTCGCATGGGAATTATCATAAACGACTCCAGCCCACCACGTCTGGCCTATCTTCGTCTTCACTGTCCCACAACACAACAATGGAAGAAGTAGACGTGGTCGTCATCGGCGCAAGCATCAATGGCCTCACAGCCGCGCATACTTACCATCGCTTGCATCCCTCAGCTAAACTCCTCATCCTCGACTCTGCGCCCTCCATTGGCGGACCATGGGCCCCGGAGCGCGTTTTCCCAGGCCTAAAAACTAACAATCTATGGGGCATGTACGAGCATCCTGATTTTCCCATGCACCAAAAGCGCTTCGGCGTGAAGCAAGGGGCGCATATTGATGCGCCTAAAATGTACGAGTACCTCTGTGCGTTTGCAGAGTGGGCGGATATCAACCAATTTATCCGTCTGAATACGAGCGTCGAGGTACTCGAGCAAGAGCAGGGCGATGAAGAGAAGAGTTGGATATTGCATTGTGTGTCGTCAGCCTCGGCCGAAAAGAAAGAGACGGTGATACGAGCCCAGAAGGTCATTCTAGCAACAGGAAATACGAGCAAGCCCTTGCTCCCAACATACCCTATGTCGCCGACGTTCTCCTCGCCTGTCGTGCACACTCGGGATTTCCCAGCTCACTTTGCGGAAATCGTGAGACCGCAGACGCACACTGTGGTTGTGGGGTCCGGGAAATCAGCTTGGGATGTAGCCTACGCGTGTGCGACGCAGCCTTCTTCCTCAGCAACGCTCTTGATCCGACCAGATGGGAATGGCCCCGTGTGGATGACACCCAGCCACGTGACGCCATTTGGGATGTGGTTGGAGAAACTGGTGCATACGCGGTTCTTCGGCTTCATGTCGCCTTGTCCGTGGGCAACGACAACGGGGGTAGAAGGCTGGCTGCGCTGGTTTTTGCACAAGACGTGGTTTGGCAGGAAGATCGTAGCAGGGTTCTGGTATGCACTTAGTGAAGACGCAGTTTCACTCAATAAACTCGACGCCCATCCCGAGACGAAGAAGCTGCGGCCCTGGAGAAGCGCCTTTGAAGTCGGAAATGCATTATCCATTCACAACTACCCCACCAGCTTCTTCGACCTCGTCCGCAACGGAAGAATCAACATCGTATTCGACGACGTCGCTGCTCTAAAGGACACCAACACCATCCACCTCAAATCCGGCACCACGCTTACTGCCAACGCCCTCGTCTGCGCCACAGGCTGGCAAAAAGCCCACACCTTCCGCTTCAACCCCACCTCCCTCGAACACGATCTCGGCCTGCCATGCCCTCCCACCCCCTCAGACCACCCCTTAATCACCGCATCCGAAACCACTCTCTTCACCGACTTCCCCTACCTAACCCAACGAAACGTAAATCGATCAGGCCACCCCGACCCCTTGCTGCGTGCTACACCGCAACTCCGTAATCTACAAACGCAACCATACCGTCTCTACCGCTTCATCGCACCGCCCCGTTCCCTCGCCCACCCCACCATCGCCTTCGCAGGCGCCGTCCACTGCCTCGGCACTTTTCCCTGCGCCTACATCCAATCCCTCTGGATCACTTCCTACTTGGACGGCACACTTGCATCCGCGCCCTCACCCTCCGAGCAAGACAGCGTGTTGAAAGAGGTGTATCGGAATACTCAGTACGGTGTGTATCGGGGCGTGATGAGTTATGGGTACATGTTGCCGGATCTGGTCTTTGATACTTTGCCTTATTTTGATGTTTTGCTCGCGGATTTGGGGTTGGTGGCGAGAAGGAAGGGAGGGGGGGTTAGGGAGTGGGTGGAAGGGTATGGGCCCGAGGATTATCGGGGGTTGTTGGACGAGGTGGAGGTGAGGAGGAGGAGGCGGGGGGAGGGTGTATGAGTGTATATTTTCTTTTAGTTAATGGATGACTACATTATTTTAAATCCGGGCCAATGTGATTGCTAGGTCAATCCCATGTGGGTGGTGGAGTTTGCTTTTGTCTTCGCTTGAAAGACATCGTGGGTTGAGGAAGTAATCATGTGCACACAATTTTGTTTCAAAATAGCGAAAAGCGTGTGTGTGTATGTGTGTGTGTGTGTGTGTGTGTGTGTGTGTGTGTGTGTGTGTGTGTGGGACTTGTTGACCGTGATACCACCAGGCAACCAATTCCCCTCGTACGATGTAACTATTCCTAGAAACCATTACGCAATTTCATGAAAACCCCCAGTGTCAGAATCACCGCTTCGCTCACACTGGCAACGCCTCCTTCTCCGCAAGCCTCCTCAGAACCATCCAGTGCACCAAATCTCTTGCCGCAAGTGCATCCTCAAAGCTATCATGTCCCTTGTTGCCCTGCGTCTGAATATCCCTGTTGATATACTTCTTCATCAACGTCTTGAGCGCCAAGTCGCCGGTTCCCTTGGTTCTCTTCTGCTTTGACTGAGATGCTATTTGTGGAGATAGTTCTAGGTCTTGGATTTGCTCGGCTAGATCATCTGCTGAGGTTTCTGTAGTTACTGCGGCGGCGGCTGCTGCTTCCGCCGCCTCCTTGTCGGCCTTTTTCTTTGCTTGCACAATCCTGTGTTCAACCATGTACGAGTCAATCACAGTTGGATGGATCCATTTCAGCGCTCTTAGGTCATTGTTCAGACCGTGGCCGACCAACGCAGTATGTGGGCCGACAAATCTCCATAGTGCTTCTCTCGCGCCGGCCTTGCCCCTCAAAGAAGTCTTTTTCCTCTTGGCTTCGTTCAGCTGCAGAAATGTGACTCCAGAGAACTTTGTGTTGAGGTGTAGCATATGTTGGTCAGGCTGAACAAGGTTGTTGATGAGGACTTCGCCAGTCAGGTAATCAATGGCGGTCAGGCGAATGAGTTCACTATCTCCCGAGATGGCGGTTCCCATTTCGCAGTCAATAGCGACAGCAGCGCGGAATGACAGGCCTGCTGGATGGCATGTCGGCGTATAGTGGTATTGGTGTACACGGAGGAGTTCTCCAGGTGCATAGTTGCGTAATTCATGCACATGACTGTGGACGCAGGGCTTAGCTTCATATACAGGGACATCACAACAAGTGAGGCACTGGATGCGATTAGTGACGAGCTTCATCTCTTTGCCAATGATGCTTTTACCCTTGTAGCCCGTTCCATGGTCCCTGGGTGGTAGCTGCACTCTACTGCGCATTCTGTTGAATCATATCTACCTTTTCCCTTTGGTATCAGGATTGTGGGGAATGGGTCCCAGGACCTCTTTGGTGGGGGCGGAATTGGGTTGGCGCGCCGTAATTTTTGCTGCCTTCTTAGATCCTTTGTGAGATTGGACATTGCTGGCATTCGATTAGCAGCGTCAATGTATACCTCCAGTAACACGCAAGTGAGGTTTCTGGCACGTACTCTGGTTGCAGTCTTTGCATCTGGCTTTTCCTTTAAGGTCCGCCATTGTAAGCGGCTCCATAACGAAGCCATGTTTTCTCATCGTCTCTTCAGATTCCAGGAGGCTGAACAACTCAGCCGGGTAGTCGTCGCCGGGTGGGCACTCTAATGGCAGAGCTGGAGGCCCTTCATATGGTTCTGGAGGAGGTGGGCCAGATGGGCGTTGTTGATGGTTATGGGCCATGATGGTGATTCCTGCGTTGCAGCCTTGCTCTGAGGATCAAGGCAAGAGATACGAGGCTCTTATAGGTGAACTCGCTTGGGTGTGCTAGTGATGCGCAGGAGGCGTTAATGTTAGTGGGAGATCGCCCTTTGGTAGGAATGTGTAAACGTCACACGTGACACAAAAGCAGTTAGTTGGGCAATGATCAACCCCAGGGATTACACCCTGACAGAGCCTTGCCACTAAGCAGCAAGTGATGCGAACGACCACTGGGGACAGATAATAGCGGTTGATGCAAGGAGACGTGTCTTTGAGAGTGAGAATCTCTGCAAGGCTGAGGAATGAAGGATGAGGTCTCATTAGTGAAAGCGCTAAGCTACCCCAGCCTGTCTCACCTGATTAGCGCTTCAGCCCAACGTCCAACAGCTGAAGACGATGAAGCAAAGCAGTCAGTTTGCCCGTCTTCTACAATTGTCAGCAAACCTTCAAAATCACTTGGGCACGACACCTTGGCGTAGGCACGGTCTTCTTCTAGGTAGTATTCTCTCCTTCCATTTCAAGGAAAAACAACGGTTGCATATTCCACATGGCACCCTTGCTGTAATTCCTTCTTGCGCAAAAAAGAATACATATATCCGTTTCTCCGTCCAAATTGAAATGCACGCTTTGCCCTTTCAAAAACACACTAGGGGGTATTGTATTAATAATCATTCAACATCAAGAATCAAAAAAGTTCGTTAGCTCGTCATCTAAATCTTCAACTCATCAAGCTTAGCCTCCAGCTCACAGACCTCTTCCTTCGCTTTAGTGCCCTTCCTCTCCCTGTACTCCTTGGCCACCGCTTCCATGACCTTGCCCATCTGCGTATCCCTACCCTCTGCCTCAAGCTCCTTTTTGACCCTCGCAAAGTTTGCCTTGACAAAGACCTGGTACTCGCTTTTCTCCCTCTTGCCGTCTTGGCCTACAGCTGCTGCACCAGCACCAGCACCACGAGGCTTGGGTTTGGTCTGCGCAAGCCTTCCCTTGCACTTTCCGCATGAGTGACGTGTTGGGTCTACAGACTTTGAGTGGCGCTTGAACTCGTAGCCGCACGCAATGCACTCCCAGACGTACTTGTATTCAATCTGGTACGAGTGCTTGGTCGTGACTTCTACGCCCTTGCTCGCCCCAAATGCGGCGGTTGCCTTACGGCCCCATGACTTGAACTCCGCTCCATGAGGATTGTTGCGCACTTCGCTAATCATAAAGGTGGTCAAATGGCAAAATTCATGCGCCAGTACGTTGTAGAGACGTTCTTCATCGTCAATGACCTTCTCTGCAAGCTCGATGGAGCAGTGGTGTCGGATCTCAGTGCGGGTGTCTGTCGATAGCGGGCCGGTGCGGATGCGAATCTGCTCTCTACGCCAATTCGCTCGGCCGGCTGTTGTTTTGAGTGTCTTGGACCAGACTAATTTTATGCCACCTGTCGATTTCGATAGTTCCTGGATGCGACCTGAAGCAATGGTGGTGTCGAGCTCTACCAAGAACGCTTCCGCAATGCTATGCTTCATCTCGGAAAACGCCTTGCGCTGTTCACGGATTTGCTTCACTGTCGGCGGTGCATCGACGTCGGGCGTCTTTGGCTTGGCTGTGCGACGTTTGGCAGGCTTCTTCTTAGGACTTTCGATGGGGCTTTCATAGCTTTCGTCACTGCTGTCATCCAGAGCAACCCCCTCCATCATCTTCACAATATCTTCGCGCCATTTCTGCTTCTTGGGCGAAACAATTGCCTTGGCTGGTGAGTGATGATCAGTCCATTCATTGACTGCTGCAGGATTCCAAAATGCATCGAGACTGGGTCTTCCATCTATATCAGCAGCTTTGGGAATTGCGAGCTTCTTCTTGGATGGAGAGACAAGCTTGGAAGGGCTCGCGGGTGCCAGGGGTGGTGTTCCTGGAGGTTCAATAGGCGGGGCTTTGCAAGGTGAACGCTTTTTGGTAGGTGTTGGTGAGTAGGTAAGGATTGCAAAGGCCCCGTTCGAGGCGGAGCTTGTAGGACGTGATGATGCTGCGAAAGAACTTGACCGTGCGTGGGTGGGCTGTTGGAGAATGAAAGACTCCGGGGCCTCAGGTGAGTCGGTCATGTCAATGATGTCCTGCGCCCAATTCGATATTGTGCTGTGTCCTTTGCGATGTGGGGGCCGCATGGAGACCAGATCAGCTGGTTGTTGGGTAGGTACGGTGACTGGTTTCAGGTCTGGGATCTTGAAAGTTGGCGAACGAAACTCATTGACTAGCCGTGGAGGGCTGGCTTCACTTTCGTCGTCTTCACTATCTGAGACTACCCGTCGGGTCTGGGGTTGTCGCCGCCTAGTTTGAGCTGTCATGACGGGTTCTTCGTCTTCATCATCGTCATCGCTGATTTCGATAACTGGTTCGGCAGCCTCTTCTTGCATTTCAACATCTTCTTCACCGCATAGAATGCTGGTCTCGGCCTCTTCTTCTGCCTCTTCAGCCTCTGCTTCCAACTCCTCTGCTTTCTTCAAGGGACTCTTGCTCCCTGGTCGTCGAGCAGCTTGCTGGACTTCTGCCTCTCCAAGAACATCAATCCTGCTCTTCTGTCCTTGTTTGTTCACCACGCTCCTTGCCAGGCTTGTGGCATACCGTAGTCGGTTCCTCTTCTCCAAGTCTGTATCCATCGTGCCACTGCGCTCTCTGCGCTCTCTTTGCTTTCTTTCCGGACTCGCTAAGCTCTCGTCACTCAGCTTTCGAAGCAGGCGACTGTTGCTCTCGACTGGTCGCAGGACTCGTTGCTTGCGCGGGGACAGTATGTCTTTGGGTAGGGTTGATCTTGCTGTGTGAAACGAATTTTCGATATCTTGCGATAGGCTGGCATCGCGCAATGCGCGCTTTGATGCTTTTGGTACGAGCATCGAGCTATCATCTTCCTCGAAAGAAGCGTACCTCAAAGTAGCCTTCCGGGGACTCATTCGTGTCGCGCTCGCCTCCGCTGGGGGCATAAAGATGGTGGGTTCATTTGGACTAGGTTTGCGTAGGCGTGCCATGTTTGCGGTATTCAGGTGGCGAATGTTGATAGAGATATCCAAAGTGCTGTATTTGCAATTGGCTCAAGAATGTTGTTGTCGCATGGGTGGTCGGCTGTTGGAACTCTTGTCGATAATGTTTGTCATTGCCCGTTGTCCCGGTGACTAGCGGGGAACACGGACGCCGCAACCGTCAGGCCCCATTTGCGGCACAGGCCCGGAAAGGGCTGAAATGGATGTTCAAAGACGACAACACTCAGCAGACCACGTTACAGCAATTTGCTAAAGTCAAAAAATGTTCAAATACTTCTGCAGCTTTAAAATCACAATCGCATACACCTGTTGTAATAACAAAAAATCATTCATACATTGCATGCTAACCGTCACAAGTACAAGTAAACCTATCCTCATTGAGCCTAGTAACCCGACAACGAAAGCTCCAAATGCGGCCATTCGTACAGTCGTTCAGCCCTCTCATGGTTACCCATCTTCCTCAGAGACGGACTTCTTTTGTCCCGCTCGCTAGACTTTCGGGGGACGTTCCGTCCTGCTGTATTTGCATCCCCAGTGGTGATTTTGTGGTGGTCCTGATTTTCATCTGAGCATTTACTGCTGGGAGTTCTTGGCCATGGTGTTAAGAGCGCTACCGTTCTTGAACCACTCAATCTGGCCCTCGTTGAAGGTGTGGGAGAGCTTGACCTCGAAAGGCTTGCTGCCATCGGCAGGGTGAACGGTCATGGTAAGGGGCTTGCCAGGGGCGAGCTCGGTGGAGGCCAAGTCAACACGGTCGTTGGGGCCAATCTTGTCATAGTCGGCAGGGTCAGAGAAGGTAAGAGGAAGCATACCCTGCTTCTTCAAGTTGGTCTCGTGGATACGAGCGAAGGAACGGGTGATGATGGCGGCACCACCCAAGTGCCTGGGCTCAAGGGCAGCGTGCTCACGGGAAGAACCCTCGCCGTAGTTCCAGTCACCAATGACAACCCATGGGATGCCGTTCTTCTTGTAGTCACGGGCAACATCGGGGACCGCGCCGTACTCGCCGGTGAGGGCGTTCTTGACCTTGTTGGCCTCGCCGTTCTCAGCGTTGATAGCACCAATCAACATGTTGTTGGAGATGTTGTCCAAGTGTCCACGGTACTTCAACCAGGGACCAGCCATGGAGATGTGGTCAGTGGTAGTCTTGCCCTGGCACTTGATGAGAATGGGTAGGTTCTTAGCGTCCTTTCCGTCCCAAGCAGAGAAGGGAGAAAGGAGCTGGAGACGGTCAGAGGTGGGAGACACAGCAACCTGGACGGAAGCACGGTCCTCGGGAGGAGCCTGGTAGGTGTCCCGGCCAGGGTCGTAACCGCTGGTGGGAAGACCCAAACCGGTGGGCTCCTTGAGCTTGAACTCCTTGCCGTCAGCTCCCTTCAGGGAATCTGTGAGAGGGTTGAATTTCAAAGTTCCAGCAATGGTCATGGCGACGACGAGGTCAGGAGAGGTGACGAAGGAGTGGGTGGCGGGGTTGGCGTCGTTGCGGCCAGTGAAGTTACGGTTGTACGAAGAGATGATGGAGTTGGCCTCGCCTAAGGCAAGTTAGCAGATGTGCAGCATAAGATGTGTGTAGTACATACCCTTCTTGACGTCCTTACGGTCCCACTGTGTAACGGTTAGTACATGCTGCTGTATAATGGAAATGAACGTGAGTAACTTACCTGACCAATGCAGGGACCGCAAGCGTTTGCGAGAACCATACCACCAAACTCCTCAAAGGTCTTGAGCTGACCATCGCGCTCAATGGTAGCGCGAATCTGCTCGGAACCAGGGGTGACAGTGAAGAGAGACTTGGCCTTGAGACCGTGGGACATGGCGTCCTCGGCGATGGAGGCAGCGCGGGTCATGTCTTCGTACGAAGAGTTGGTGCAAGAACCAATGAGACCGACCTTGAGCTCTTCGGGCCACTTGTTGGCCTCGACAGCCTCCTTGAACTTGCTGATGGGTGTAGCTAGATCGGGTGTGAAGGGACCGTTGATGTGAGGCTCAAGCTCGGAAAGGTTGATCTCAATGAGCTGGTCGTATTCGGCACCCTCATCCTCGCGGAGCTCCTTGGCGTAGTCGCGGGCAAAGTCACCAATTTGGCTACGCTTGGTAGCGGCGAGGTAGTCGTACATGCGGTCGTTGAAGGGGAAGACCGAGGTGGTAGCACCAATCTCGGCACCCATGTTACAGATGGTAGCCATACCAGTGCACGACAGGCTCTCGGTACCGGGTCCGTGGTATTCGACAATGGCACCGGTTCCACCCTTGACAGTCAGGATACCGGCGACCTTGAGGATAATGTCTGTGGTTGACGTTAGCGCGTGTTACCCCACTTGCAGTAAACAATGGCGAGTACGTACCCTTGGGAGCAGTCCAGCCAGAAAGCTTGCCAGTCAGCTTGACACCAATAACCTTGGGAGCCTTGAGTTCCCAGGGAAGACCGGCCATGACGTCGACAGCGTCGGCACCACCAACACCAATAGCGGCCATACCGAGACCACCAGCGTTGGGAGTGTGAGAGTCAGTACCGATGAGGAGAGCACCAGGGAAAGCGTAGTTCTCGAGCACAATCTGATGGATGATACCAGAGCCGGGCTTCCAGAAACCAATGTTGTACTTTGCGCAAGAGGTGGACAAGAAGTTGTAGACCTCCTTGTTGATCTCGTTGGCGCGGGCCAAATCCTGCTCACCACCGACCTGGGCCTCGATGAGATGGTCGCAGTGGACGGTGGTAGGGGTAGCAACGGAGGGCATTCCAGCCGACATGAACTGGAGGATGGCCATCTGAGCAGTGGCATCCTGGCAAGCTACACGGTCGGGACGGAGCTTGAGGTAGCTGACACCACGCTCAATGTCTTGACCGTGAGGGTCGTCCAAGTGCGAGTAGAGAATCTTCTCGGCAAAGGTGAGAGGGCGGTTGAGACGAGAGCGGACAATGCCCAGGTTCTCGCTCATCTTCTGGTAGTTGATGTAGTGGCCCTTTTCCCAGTTGGTCATCTCGACCTTGCGGGAGAGGGCAGCATCGCTGACGGTGGCCAATTGCCTGCGCGAAGCAAGGCTCTGGCCCATGCGGCCGAGCCTCGAGAACTTCTGCATGGTGAAGATTGCAGAGGAGGGTGTGGAGGGAAGAGTGATGGAGGGAGCGGAGGAAAAGAAGGCCAGAAAGCTGGCGCAAGTTGGGCGATAACTAATAGCGATCACGAGCAGTGTGATTGGCTCGTTTAGCCCCAGCTGGGTGCGGAATACCTCGGCGCCAGAGCAAAAACAGGACGGCAGCTGCTTTCCCGCTGGGCCGTTTCACGTGCAAGGATGGTGGAGGACGAGGAGGGAATTATGGAGCCTGGAGCGTCTAGTCTGGTGTGCGACCTGGTGATTTATTGGGCCCTCGTTGGTGTGCGGCGACGGCGACGGCGACGGCGACAATTGCAGCGACAAGGCGTGCGGGAGAGGGAGGGCGTTCACTCAGACGTCATATCCGGCGCCGGCAAAGCGACCCCGCGCCCAATTCTCGAGGCGCTGATTGGCGTCTGGCCATGGCACCACATGCGACGACGGCACAGAGCCAGGCTGGAGCGCGACATTTCCGGGCCAACACTTTCACCCCCAGGCCTGCACACGCAGCAAATTTGGCTTTTGGCGCAACTGTAGCATTTGCCTGCCCCGCATCCGGCATAGCGCCACAGGACTTTCTGACCTGCAGACTCCCGCACGGGCCCCGCGCCGCTCCAGTCCCCACACTACCAACTCTGCCCATAGCCGACACCCATTCCCTAACGGATAACCGACGGCCGCGGATAAGCACTGCTCTGCACACAGCAACTATACCACACACACACGCACCATGCCAGCCATACGCGGACAGGACTCGAAGAAAAAGACTCGCCGCCATACCCGCGACCTCGACCAGATCCACGCCGACCTGCGCGACGAAAAGCATCTCGCCGCCTTCAAGAATGAGAAGCCCATAGAGGACCTGCCCGGCCTGGGCCAGTACTACTGCAAGGAATGCGCAAAGTTTTTTGAGAGCGACGCCAACCTCGGCGCGCATCAGAAGGGCAAGGTGCATAAGCGGAGGTGAGACGCTTTGCTGAATATGCCGACATCGAGGCTGACAAGTCCAAGGGTCAAGCAATTGCGCGAAGAGCCATATTCGCAAAAAGAAGCAGAGGCGGCCATTGGCCTCACCACCAACAACGGAACCCGCACAACCGCTCCAGCAGCGCCCATGGAGGTCGATCAGGTCGCATCCGCTTGAGCATACTCATATCTAGCTCGCCGTGGAAACAGACGAGGTTGAAGGACACAGGTGGCGGCGGTGGTGGTCTACGAGCGTTAAAACGCCACGATACCAGGGAGACGGAATGCATTGCATGGCGTTCAAAATTGGGAAATGGAATATAGAGGGGGTCAAAAGTTTACACGATACCCCAAGTTTCAATAACACGCAAAGTTTCGCACTGGTGTTTGCAATTGCGACAATTGCACTGCTACTTAGTGCACGTGAAAGTTTGGCTTAAATTTTGTTCCTGCAAAACGCGAAGTCACATGTCCAAATTTTTCCCTGATTTTCGTCCCACCATATCTGAGCTGAAAGCGTACAACTCAATGGCAAGCCATTGTCAGTGAAGACGCCACGGCCAGGCAGTCGCTGCGTCGACTGTAGGCAGATAGGCATCCATGTTGGCGTGGTGCCTGAAAGCTGCCTGGTTAGTTACCTAAAACAGCCTTGTGCTCCCACCATCACCAACCAACACCAAACCTGTGACATAAAAAGCTAGTCATCACAACCCATATCCACAACATACAACCCCAGATCTCTACGGTTGAAGTATTACGAATTTGTCTCGTTTTACTACAGAATCCCGCCCTGTAGAGAAAAAAATCAGAAAGAGAAGAGTCATCAAAAAAACCACCCACAACCATGGACTTCAAATCCACCCCCCTCTACGGCGGCGCAATAACCGTCGACCTACCCTCCGACTACTCTGACGCCTCGTAAACTCCTCCTTACCCTCCCCTCTCATAAACCCCCTCATACTAACAGTTTCTAAGCCTAATCCGCCAAATCCCCTCACACCAAGAAGTTTACCTCCACAACACAGGCTACACCAGCATCGTCCTCGAAATTCTCGAGTACGTCGACAAACCATCCGACGAGGAAGCCCTGCAGTATCACTTCGCCGATCTGGTCGATGGCACAGGGGATGCTACGACCATGGTTGCGCAGGCCAAGAGTGAGATGAAGAATTTGTACGTTTTTTTTCCTATTTACTTGTTTTTCTTTTTTAATTCTTTCTATATTTCAACACGTAATGGAAGAGCAAGAAGTCATGGACGAAATAAAGTGAAATGGCTAACAAGAAGAAAAAAAAACAAAGACCACAAACCCCAATCCTAACCTTGACCTTCATCCAAACTCCCCCTCCTGCCCCCGCAGGAGCACCAGCCCGCAAAACACCAGAATACACATTTATCCAGCTTATCCTTGTGCGACTCAAGGATCAAGGTACAGACGTAAGCATCCTCCCTTTTCTCTTCTTCCTTCCTTCCTCCCTTCTATCCCTTTCTTCTCTTTTGAACTCGACTAACGTCAAGGGGTTTAAAAAAAGATCATGATAACAATAAACTCTCCCCACTACCCAGGCGAATACACGCCTGCGGCTTCACCAAGCAGCGAAACGCAGCTTATGACCGAGGCCAAGGGGATCAAGGAGAAGGTGCTGGAGAGTTTTGCGATTAACGAGTGGGGGTTGTTTGAGGGCTGAGTGTGGGTTACATCATCGAGGGTCTATGGGAGAATGGGAGGAAAGAAGATAGGCAAGGAAAGGAAGGGATGATGGGATATGTGGTATGGGGTAGATAGCTTGAATTAAATCCAGTGAATGAATACATAAATAAAATGAATAAAGTAAGTTTACTACACGCTTGGGATAGTTTGTCACCAGGCAGATTTTCCAAGTTCACACCAACAGTCACAGATAGTCTGGCATCTCGCTCAGCAGGAAAAGAAGAGGAGAAATAATGGTATATGAGCATAGCACTATATCCCCTCCCACCTTACGAGATCCTTTTCACAGATACGCCTATCCATCTGTATCCCCCCCATTGTTTCATCATATGTACGCCATGATATCTAGTATAAACAAGCACCTCAAGAAGTAATCCTCACCACCTCCCACCACCACCACCACCACCACAACTCACTTATACCCATTCGCTCTATTCAACCGCCGCCGCATATCCTCCCCCACCATTGTTGCCCTGTCATCCAAACCCATCACATCCCCTCTTAACCGTGATTCCTCACCAATCCCCCCACGTGACACACCCTTGGGTTGAGCAGCGAGAAAAGGCGAGGGAGGAAGATCCGCTAGTTTACCCGTAGGCTGGACATCTTGCATCAAGGCAGGGTCAACTGGCATGTCAAACGTATTCTGTTGTTGCTGCTGCTGCTGCTGCTGAGCGAATTGCTGATAGACATGAGCAGGGTGCTGTGGGCTTGCAATTGGTACTTGAGTAGAAGGCGAGTCAGGACCCGGTGGAGGAGGCTGAGAAGGAGAAAAGATAGTCGGCGGTGTGGGCGTCATGGTCTTTTGGGCAGTACTAAAAGCAGATGCTGATCGTGCTTCTGCGCGTGCCTGATTCTGACCTTGTCGCATGGCTGATAACCCTTTGTTCATCTCGCTACATTCCGGGCAGTTTCTGATGACCTGACTGACAGTCTCTTTGATGCGGACCCAATGATATAGCTCAGCAATGGCCGCAGTTGTCTTGTTGATCCCGCCGTGCTGCTTATGATGTATTTCCTGGGCAATTTCATACTGCTGCTTCGGATCGGCAATTACCTCCTTGCCCTTGAGCCACAGTTTCTCCGGTTCATCATCATTAGCCGGTGTCAGCTTGTAGTGGGTCGCTGCACTGCGGAGGCGGCTCTTCTCTGCACGATCAGCGCCGTTGGGGTATTTCCCGTTTTTGAGATAGAAACGTATCTTGTCAAACCGCTCTTCTGACACAAATTCGTCATCTTGACCCAAGTCTCGTCCATAGATGATGGCATCGACGAGCTCACCAGGATACGACTTGAGATTACCACACCCCTTTACACGACCGATGCGCTTGAAGCCGAGAGCATCCCATATGCGACAAGAGGCGACGTTGGTTTCGTAAACAAGATTGAAGACAGAATAGGTGTAGCCCTGTGGTTGTTAGCGGCAGCATGCAGACGGCACAATTGCGCAAAACATACCAACTTCGGGGCCCAGTCCAGGTACGTCTCACCCATCAGACGTCCGACACCACGATTTCGCGACGCATCTGTAACAAGAAAACCACCGTTGCAGACATGGCTCGACCGGCCCGGGTAGTTTGGCTTGATGTAGAAACTTCCGAGACACTCCCGTTCCCAGTCGCATCCTCTGCGGGCCATTTCGTGGAGCTGACGGCCATCCTGAATTTCGCCCAAAAGCATAATAGCACCGAAGACTCCGAACCAGTACGGGCCAAAGCTTTCGAGTGGTAATGGTTCAACCATAGGGTATGTGTCGCCTTTTTCAATTTCACGGCCAAGCTGATCGCATAGGTATGCGAGTAGTGTGAGAGGCACTTGGTTGGGCGCAGAAAAAGGTATGATTGTCGCAGTCGTAACACGGTCGCGCAGAATGACTTGACATGGCGCAATGCCTACGGGCAGAGGGCTGCCTGGTGGAGGATATGGAATGTCGCCCGAGGTGCGGTATACAACTGGTGCGCTGGGGTCATCCAGCATCGCAGGCATGGCGGGCGGGCAGGCGGGGTGAAAGGCGAGGGCCGTTGGAGCTCCCTGTCGCGCGCAATTAGCATTGTGGAAGGAGGTGAGAGAATCAAGTCCAATCGACGTGGTTGGGCCAGTCGCATCGTATGATGCTACTATATGAGCGGCATGAGTGGCACATTGGGGCCGTGTTGAGGGAGAAGTTGTCCACACCCACACAATGACGTGAATGGTGTAGGACCTACCTTGCAGTGCCTGACGAGGGGCCCTAAGGATGGCCAAAGGGCAGGATGAGAGATACTGCCGTGATGTGGTGCTCGCGCCGAGTGCCTGGCAGACCTGCGCTAGTAGCGCTCCTTGTGGCCAGCCAATCGGGGCCGTCTTGAGTGCAGAGTGCTCTGGGACTAGGGACATGCATGGAGTACATTGATAAAACTGATTCATTCACGCAAGGCATCACTCACAAACCAAACAACAGCGGTAATTGTTTTAAAAAAGCGATTGAATTGCGACATAACGCCGTGCAATGGTATAGCGTTGTTCTACCACCATGAACAATGCGATAACAAAACCAAACAGCCTTGTGGATATCAATGATAATTTATACAAATGAAAGAAAGCAAGATTTAATCTTTCGTTGCGGCGATACACATTCAAAAGGTATTATGTAAAGTAAGAGAAATGCAAACAGTCCTTCATTCACACGCACGCCCAACGTCTTGATACAATTCCTTCCCCTCGGCGTATCAACCCCTCATCCAACCACTTAGTAGCCAGAGACCATCTGAGAGTACAGGAAGTTGCCTGCTTCATCAACATACTCAATGGTCTGTTTGCTGTAGCAGTAGCCAGGCTCTTGCCATGGCAGAGTTGGGTGGGAACCACCGTAGCTGGGGGAGCTGGGGTAGCTGGGATGGCTGGATCCAGGTGCAGTGGGCTTGTTGCCAGGGGTGTTAGGAGATTCATATCCAGGTCCGGTAGGCTGTGTGTATCCCGGCTCGCTGATGACTGGGATATCAAGAGGAGTGGGAGTGTAGGTGAAGGGCTTGCCAGCGGGGAGGTGCTCAGTAGCCTTGGGGAGGACAGTGTAAGGAGCGCTCAAGTCAGGAAGCTCGTTCTCAGAGGCGGCAGGCTTGGCCTTGTTGCACTTGACGCTGATGTGGAAGTTGGGAAGGGTCTCAGGGTCGAGCTCGCCGTTGACACCGACAACCTTGTAGTACAGGTTCTCCTTGAGGTAAGCCTCGATGTGCTCGGGAGTGAGAGACTCAAGTTCACCGGCAGCTTGCTTTCCTTGCAGACAGGTGGTCAAGGGGACAGAGCCTTCGGTCATGACGGGTTGAGAAGAGTTGGAACCACCGACCATCATACCACCGATAATACCATAGGAACCAACATAGTTGGAGGCTTGAGTGTAGTCGGTGGATGGGTCGTAAGCAGCCTCGCCATCATCGCTATCATCGCCACCGACAGAGATGCCGACGGAGACACCAGCAGTGCCAAGAGAGATGCTAGCAGAGAGGGTCGAGTTAGCCTTGATAGGGTAGGGAGCAGTCGAGTTGGCAGTGGAGTTGCTGCTAGGCTTGCCAACGAAGCAGTGAACAACATAGGATCCCTCAAGCGCGTACTTGTCGGCAGTGACGGAAAGGATGGTGTGGTACTCGCCTTCCTTGATGGGACGGCCAAGGTACTGGCCAGTCTCGGTGACATGGCCATCACGCTTGCTCATGGATCGGCCGTTTGCAGCGTAGAGCGAGTTGATGGAACGGACAACCTGGTCGTAAGAGTTGGAGCTAGTGTCGGGGTAGAAGTATCCAAGAGTGCGGGTCTCGTAGACGTCCTGCGAGGTGTAGTAGTTGCCGGCGGCGTCCTTGGTGAAGGGCTTCAGGGGAGTGTACGCGTTCTTGGGCTCGCCCTGGTTCCACTGGGCCATGGGACGCATCACGTTACCGTTGGCGACGTAGGTGTTGGGGCTGATGATCTGGAGCATGGCGAGAAGACGATCGATGTTGCAGTGGTGGAGCCAGAAGAGAGGGTCGAAAGCAGCGACATCGAGGTAGGCCATGTGACCACCGCTCTCACCGCCAGAAATGCTGTGGATAAGGTCGTGGACAGACTCGATGCTGTCGACGCCGCCACCGCTGAGGGCAGTACGGACACCAATAGCAGCAGTGCTGGCAGCGCCCCAGTTGGGCTTGCTGGAGAAGAGAGCAAAGATACGGTCACGAATCGAAATGCGGGCAGAGCCAAAACGAGCGTTCAACTCGTTGTTGTTGCTGCGAGTAGGATTGGCGACAGGGCGGCGAAGCGTGACGGGCCAGCTGTTCCATGGGCCTCCGCCCATCTCAGAGGGAAGCGAGTTGCCCCAGCTGTAGCTATAGAGAGGGTTGGCGATCCTAACAGAACCTTGGGGCTTGTTGACAGTGATGGTCTGGTCCCGGATGAGGGTTGGGACAGCAGGAGCGTTGCCTGGATCACGGGCGTAGTCAAAGTAAGGCATACGCAGAGTAGAGGCGATTTGTCGCAGACGACCCTGCTGGCTAGCAGGGAACTCCTGAATCACCTCAAGGACAGACTGGTACCAAGCTTGCTGTGGACAAAGTGTTAGTTGTGATAAGTTAGACTAGCAATGAAGAAGACGTACCTCGTAAGCGGCAAGGTAGGGCCTGTGCCATGAACCAAAGAGGGTCATGCCGTGGGGGCAGAAACCAGCGTTGTTGACCAGAGGGGATGGGAAATTGTTCCAGGTGACAAAGGGACGGCCGTGGACACCGGAGACCTGGTAGTAGGAGAGGACGTCACGCTTGTCCTTTGCTATGAACCTCTCCATACCGAGAATGTACAGGTTCCAGGCCTCGGAGTCGCGGGCCAAGTCACGGATCTCGAGACGGGCGGCAGCAGAGCTTCCGCCATTGCAGTCTCCATTGGAAGCATAGCCGTTGCTGCAGACACCCTTGATGGGAACAGGGCCTCTGGACTGGCGCTTTTGGAGTTCTCCCTCAATCTCCTGGAGGTGAC